CACCGCTCCTCTTATTCCGCATTGCCTTTCATATCCTAAGGAGATAATGCGCATAAACGGAATTCGAGGAGAAATAAGGCGCTCTTCCAGACACGTTAAGTTTTTAAGGCACTCCGGAATTTCTGGAAAGTCTAAGCCATTGGAAAGACAAAGAGATGGTAGTCTGCCTTTGGAAACAGCTTGACGGCATGTACTGCAGAATAGATATATACCGGACGGACTCGGAAATTTCCTACTTAAATAAAATGAGTTGCCTACGTTCATATTGGGGAACTTAGAAGATATAAGAAATTGATTCAAACCACTTACCTGGGATGAAAACCATGTTCCTCCACAGCATGTACATATTTTTGTTGGTCCGTCCTTAATGTTTCGAAGATATTGTTCCCGCGCAGTGTTTCGGCTCCTCCGGCGCTGTAATTCCCGTTGATCCTCCCTTTCATCTGCGGAAAGTTCAGCTCTAGCAGCAATATTTCGCTGCGACTGCCTTAAAGATTCCGCCTGACGATTTTGGGTACTGCTCCTATATGTGATTAATCTTTCCGCGGCCATTTCCTGAATTTGTTGCTCTCGAAGCCTCCGCTGTAGGCGTGTCTCCCGGCTACGCAATGTGTTATAGTGCTGCTGATGCGCACGAGTTATGGGGTTATTCCTAACGATCCTGTGAGCATCAGCGTCCCTTACGCGCTCTGGTCTGCGATTTTCTTCAACGGCCCTCCAGGTAGCGCGATTAGCAGTATTTTGTGACTGCTGTCGTCGGCGCTCCTCGGAGTTTGCCCTGGCAAGAGCGTGCGCTATAGCGTCCTGTTCTCGCTCTGGCCTGCGATTTTCTTCTTCCGCCCTCCAGGTAGCGCGATGAGCAGTATTTTGGGACTGCTGTCGTCGGCGCTCCTCGGAGTTTGCCCTGGCTAACGCGTGCGCTGCAGTGTTTCGGTCCTGCTGTCGTTGACGTTCCTCGGAGTTAGCTCTGGCCTGAGCGTGAGCTATAGCGTCCTGTTCCCGCTCTGGCCTGCGATTTTCTTCATCGGCCCTCCAGGTAGCGCGATTAGCAGTATTTTGCGACTGCTGTCGTCGGCGCTCCTCGGAGTTTGCCCTGGCTAACGCGTGCGCTGCAGTGTTTCGGTCCTGCTGTCGTCGACGTTCCTCGGAGTTAGCTCTGGCCTGAGCGTGAGCTATAGCGTCCTGTTCCCGCTCTGGCCTGCGATTTTCTTCATTGGCCCTCCAGGTAGCGCGATTAGCAGTATTTTGCGACTGCTGTCGTCGGCGCTCCTCGGAGTTAGCTCTGGCCTGAGCGTGAGCTATAGCGTCCTGTTCCCGCTCTGGCCTGCGATTTTCTTCATCGGCCCTCCAGGTAGCGCGATTAGCAGTATTTTGCGACTGCTGTCGTCGGCGCTCCTCGGAGTTAGCTCTGGCCTGAGCGTGAGCTATAGCGTCCTGTTCCCGCTCTGGCCTGCGATTTTCTTCATCGGCCCTCCAGGTAGCGCGATTAGCAGTATTTTGCGACTGCTGTCGTCGGCGCTCCTCGGAGTTAGCTCTGGCCTGAGCGTGAGCTATAGCGTCCTGTTCCCGCTCTGGCCTGCGATTTTCTTCATCGGCCCTCCAGGTAGCGCGATTAGCAGTGTTCAGTGCGCGTTCCCTAGCTCGAACTCGATCACTTCGCCTTCTGACAAGGCGTGCTGCCGTATTTCGCGTGCGTGCGTCCTCAGCTAGTTCCAAATTACTTGCGCGGGTCTCGGCAATATGTAAGGCATTCCGGGTCCTTATCTGCGGTGCATTTTGACGATATTGGGCTCGGCTGCGCCTCAGTGCGGCTTGGCGGCGTTGTTCCTGAGATAAAGAAGATACGCGTGGCATTCTCTTTTTTTTTTGCTGTTTAAAAAATCGTAAAAATAAAAATTTAAAGGGATTATACGTGTTTGTTATTAAAAAATTTTAAATTCAGGGAATTTTGAAATTGTGATAAAATGATAAATTTATGTACTATGCCCCGTATTTGGTTTACGGTTGATACATACATAATTTTATAATTTTCTGATAGATAGACAAAATACTGCAATTGTTATTATTTAATTGTGGAAAATTGTGGAAAATATAATGTGTATTAAAACAGCAAAGGGAGACAGAAAATTCGGACAGTTTTAACAAATTAACGGAAACTTACCAATTATCAATTGTAGGAGATATCACTTTAAATCACTTTTTAATTTAATTTTTCACTTTTGAATAACAAAAAGTACACAATACAAGTAATATAGGCTTCACAGAAACAGGTTGTTATACGGCGACTGTTATTTACAGACTAATCCATGGATTAGGCATACGTGTCAATATAAAGGCTGGTATTTTACCTGTTGACAGCACAAAGGTCAACCCTTTTTCTCACGAAGAATCCCGTAGTGCAGAAAGGTGCAGGTAACTACTTTGATTATGCAATTAAAGGATTGTGTACGTGTACATTAGTGAATCAGTTACCTTACCATTTGACCTGTATGATGTAAATCAAGAATTGGAAAAGTCTAGGTAGACTGGGTTGCAATATGAAATCAAACTATCGGGTTGTATATACCTGCCCTTGATTCATAAATGTAAAAGTAAATTAAGGTGACTTTCTGTAGGGGCGTAATAACCTGCATAGTGTTCGGCAATATTTGTAAAAGTTTTAGTATGTAGGGTTACAAATAAATATAAAATAAAACTATCAGAGAAACCCTTAACCAGTCGTGGGGTATCAAACTTTAATACATAAAAAAAGACCTTTGTAAAATAGATGACAGATGTTTTGTATATTTAAAATAAAAACAAGAGAGAACGCTATAGTCGGGTGCCCCGACTATCAGATACCCGTTACTCAGGTAAAGGGAGTGCGAGGGAGATGGAGATAGAAACTTTGATCACGCATAACTTTTTAACGAATGGTCCGATTTGAAAAATTTATTCTACATTTCGGTAGGTATTGATAAACACAATAAAACTGCATTTTTACTTTTCCGAAATATTTAAATTTTTAAAATCGTATATAAGCGATTGTGGGCGTTAAAGGGGGCGTGGCACCATTTTGAAATAAACTTGCGCTGCGTAGGAACTTCTAAAATCTACATGCAAAATGCCAATCTTCTAGCTTTTATAGTTTCCGAGATCTCAGCGTTCATACGGACAGACAGACAGACAGACAGACGGACAGACAGACGGACAGACGGACAGACGGACAGACGGACAGACGGACAGACGGACATGGCTAGATCGACTCGGCTAGTGATCCTGATCAAGAATATATATACTTTATAGGGTCGGAAACGCTTCCTTCTAGCTGTTACATACTTTTGCACGAATACAATATACCCTTTTACTCTACGAGTAACGGGTATAAAAAATAATAATAACTGAATCTGAAATCTGGGAATATGTTGAAAGGAAAAGATTATGTCAGTATGCCAATCTTATTTGCAAGATCTATATGATTTGTATACAATCTTAAAACATATGATTTCTCCAAAAATGTCAGTAAATGTTTCAAAACGCTTAAGCTGTGTTGATTTGCCTGTTATTTAATGATCATTCTAAGACATCTATATGATATAGTCTTAAAATTTTTATAAAATTAAAACTATTATTCTGAGATTGCTAAAATTTACTATATCTTGGAGTATATGGAAATATTTTAGGAAACGACAAAGTTATAGTTACGAACTGACGGAAGATGTATTCGAATCGCCTGATATAACAATGAAGCTAGGTCGATTTTACTCTCAAGTTTTCGGTCATTTCTATGAAAGCTATATGATATTATTGTCCGATTTCAATAAAAATTAAAACGTAAATCTAAAATATTCAAGATTTACTATATCTTGAAGTATATTTATTTAAATTATTAAACATCGAAGTAATAATTTTTTTCTCATTTATTTCATATAATTGTTCCGATTGTTCCTATGGGAGCTATATGATACTGTCATCCGATTTTAATAAAATGAAAACCGTAATTCCATAGTATTTAAATATTAACAAATCCTGAAGAACAAAAAAAATTCTTAATACTCATAAAAAATCCAAACTTCCTAACTTTAAAAACACCAAAGTTATGGCATTTTCAATCGTTCAGTTATATGGCAGCTATAAGATATAGTCGGCCGATCCTTATGAAATTTGGTAGGTCGGATTGATTGGCCAAATATAAAACCTGTAGAAAATCTTAACTTTCTAACTTTACAAACACCAAAATTATGGCATTTTCAATCGTTCAGTTATATGGCAGCTATAGGATATAGTCGGCCGATCCTTATGAAATTTGGTAGGTCGGATTGATTGGCCAAATATAAAACCCATAGAAAATCCCAACTTTCTAACTTTACAAACACCAAAGTTATGGCATTTCCGATCAATCAGTTATATGGCAGCTATAGGATATAGTCGGCCGATCCTTATGAAATTTGGTACGTCGGATTGATTGGCCAAATATAATACCCATAGAGAGTCCCAACTTCTTATCTTTAAAAACACCAAAGTTATGACTTTTCCGATCGTTCAGTTATATGGCAGCTATATGATATAGTCGCCCGATCCGGCTCGTTCCGACTTATATACTACCTGCAATAGAAAGACAAGTTTTGCGAAAGTTTCAAGCAGATAGCTTTAAAACTGAGGGACTAGTTTGCGTAGAAACGGACGGACAGACGGACAGACGGACAGACGGACAGACGGACAGACGGACAGACGGACGGACGGACGGACAGACGGACGGACAGACGGACGGACAGACGGACAGACGGACATGGCTAGATCGACTCTCCTGGTGATGCTGATCAAGAATATATATACTTTATAGGGTCGGAAATGTCTCCTTCACTGCGTTGCAAACTTTTGACTGAAATTATAATACCCTCTGCAAGGGTATAAAAATGTCTAAGACAAGTAATGATAGAGAAAATAAATAAGCAAGTTCAATCTGTTTAATATTGGTTACCTTTGGCTTTAATCTTTATTGTATCTGCTTCCCGGTATAGATGCCCAATAACAAGGCGCTGTCTGGACTGTGCGATGGCATGGTCAAGGCCTGGGACATCTATGCCAAGCCGAAGGCAGTGATCCTGTTCATCATCGAGGATGTGTCGTACAACATCTGCGACCAGCGCTTCCACGAGTTCTACATCCGCGAGACGTACCCGCACATCAAGGTGCTGCGTCGCACCCTCACCGAGGTGCATCGCGAGGGCAAACTGGGCCTGGGAAAGGAGTTGCTGCTGTAGGTGGTCAGCCCACATCTAACCGAATAGACAGTCTACTAATTTGTACATTTCCTCACTTTACAGGGGAAACCAGGAGGTGGCCGTGATCTATTTCCGTGCCGGCTACGAGCCCGGACACTATCACTCGCAGGCGGAGTGGGATGCCCGCTATCTGATGGAGACATCGCTGGCCATCAAGTGCCCCTCGATCCATTACCATCTGGCGGGCACCAAGAAGGTGCAGCAGGCCCTGGCCCAGCCGGCGGTCCTCGAGCGCTTCATCAACGATCCGGAGGAGATCAAGGCGGTGGGCAAGATCTTCACGGGCCTCTATTCCCTGGACGACAACGAGGCGGGCAATGCCAGCTACGAGATGGCGCTCCGCACTCCGGAGAGATTCGTGCTGAAGCCCCAGCGCGAAGGAGGTGGCAATAATGTGTACGGCGTGGACATACCCGACGCTCTTAAGGTAAGTTTATCCAACCTTTCCCGCTGTCCATTACCTATATTATTGAGGTGTTCCCCTAAAAACTTTAAAAACACAACCACCTGGGAATCTCTTTGCGCTGCTTTCCTAATTGATATTTAAATGAGGAATTATATGATGAACCAACTATTTGATTTTAATTAATAAAGCAAGATTTCAATTTCGTTCTCTTTAAAAGCAGTAATGCTTTTTGCATCTGTACAGTTTTTGAGAGACCCACCTGATTATAGCTGACACAATTTAATCTTTACTAACGAACCTTTATTGATTTCTGCTCACAGCGAATGTCGCGCGTGGAGCGGTCCGCCTGGATCCTGATGGACCTGATCCATCCGCCGCTGACCAAGGGCTATATGGTGCGGCCCGGTGGCGATATGCCGCCCCAGATCGTGGACATGGTCTCCGAGCTGGGCATCTTTGGTGTGGTGATCGGGGACGCCGAGCACATTGTGCACAACTACCAGGCGGGGCACATGCTGCGCACCAAGCTCTCGACCGCCAACGAAGGAGGCGTGGCGGCCGGATTGGGTGCTTTGGACAGTCCCTATCTGATTGATAGCGATGACGACGACGAGGAGAACTAGGTATCCTTTGGGACAAGGGTCTGTAAGCCGGCATTCCACCTGTTGCCTCAGTCTTGTATAAATGATTATTTTTGTAAAGCGTGTTGTACATTTTTCACTAATTCCCCCACACCCAAATTGCAATAAACAAAACGTTAAGTTAGAAATCCTTGTCAAGATGCAAACTGGATTTGGGGTTTTAAAGCTTCGCTACAGTTAATACGAACTCTTAGTATCTAAGAACTATCACCGGGGGAGTATACATAGGATGGGAATAGTAGGCAGGCGACCATCTCTCGCGGCGTTCACTACCTCACCATCTTGCGGTAGGTGGCGTCCATCAAGCGGTCCACCATGCTGTCGATGGGATGGATGATCAGCGGGATGCTGGCCAGGCCCACGAGAGTGGGCACCGTCTTCAGGATCGGCACGGGAGCTCGGCTCAGCAGTCTTTTGGTGGCCCAAGTGATCCTGGAAGAGCAAAAGCCAAATATGAATATGATATATCACATAATACTGAAAAAGCAGGTAGTCTTAAAGAAAACTTCTATGTGTCAGTTGCTAGTATATTGTCTTAAATAGCATATAATATTAATTATTTTTTCTCATTTGCTGAAGGATTGACTTAATTCAACGTTAAAAATATAATTATTAAAATAAATTGCAATCATATTTTTGAATGCACAGAAAGAGTATCTTAAATGTATCATAACCTATTTAAAATGTCACTTGATGCATCGTTAAAATATCTGCTTTAAATTACTTGATATATTATATACAAGGTTTGTTATCGAAATGGGAATGATGACTTCATTATCTACTGATGCAAAATGTAAGTACATTCAAAACATTAAACCAGTTTTTAGTGACATTGATTGTTATGACTGTATAATATAAATGACAGCATACAATATATATATACAATATATATACTATATATGACAGTACTTTACAATATCTAAGCTTGACCAAGCCCAAATTGTTGTCTTAATTTAGCTAACCATTACGTAACCTATATAAAAAATGGACTCCCAAAAGGTAAACCCCTCATCCTAATGCCTGCATTTAATCATAAGCGATATAAGGTTTGGATGGTAATCCCCTGGGAACGGATGAACCCACCTATTGATGACCAGGCCGGGAATGGCGACGGAGGCCAGCATCTGCCAGGCGAAGACGTCGCCGCCCTTGATGGCCACTTCTCGGGGGGATGCCCCTTCCATTTGGAGGCGCAGTGTCTTGTCGAAGGTATCGGTGCAGACATATCCGATGGCCATGCCGTAGGATGCAGCCACTAGGGATTTGGGGACCAGCGGGCGAAAGGATTCGCCAATCTCGTTGCTGTAACCTAATAAAAAAATGAAAATGGGAAATGAGTCGTCTAACCACATCGGATTTATCCGGATCAGAACTCACCCATATAGCGAATGAAGGTGTCCCGATATATATCCACATCCTTCGTTATCGTCTTGTGTCCAGTTTCCTTGGTTTCCGGCTCCCTTTCTATTAATTGCTTGTCCTCCGACATTGTATTCACTGTACGGAAGTCGTCTTTTTGGGGAGTCGTCTTTTTGGGCAGTCAAATTAAGTAATGTTTAGTCAGATATGGCAATCTGTTCCCACTGACTGAAAACAGCTGACCACTCGGTTCCCCAAAAATGTATCATTTATTTAAATTCAAATTTAACCGTTCGAAGAGCTTTGGGCCGCCAAACTATGCGTTATAAAATTCGTAAAAACATACTGTTTATATAAATAATGAAATATAGTTGCGCGTATCGATAATAGGCATCGAACGGTTATCGATTACAGATAATAAATTTAAAATCAAACAAACTACTAGACGAAAGTTAGTTCAAGTATTTTTGGGAATGAAACTAAAATATTCCTTTTTAATGTTAAGCTAATCAAATTTATTTGAAGAAAAAAATGTTATGTCGATGGTTCCTATTTGGGCTTGTCTCTAAATTAATAAAATCTGTAAATGATTTTTGTATGAAATTTTTTTTTTTATTTAAATTTTAAATACAACTTTAATTTGACTTGTAAACCATAATTATGGTGTGCACACACTGATAAGTTGGTTCACTCCGGTCCCCTTATATCGATTGTTATCGATAGTGGTTCCCATGTATTTATTGAAATTCAAATTCAAATTTGATTTGTGTACTTTAGCGGGATTGTTAAGACTTTCGTTTTTTTTCATAGCCAACCAAAATTAGTCGCAATTAGCTTTTAGCCGCCACAAATCATAATTAGTCCGCGCTAAAAGCTTTTTAAATCCTCTTATTTTTTTAACCCCTCCACAACAGCCCCATTTATGCATATTTCTTTTGGCTTCTTGGAAATAATCACGCTCTTAAATTTTATTGCCATGGCACGCTACTTGTTTGCTGTTTGTTTTGTGTTTCGTTTTGAGTTCGCTTCGTTTTTTTGGGGGGAGCAAGTGTTAAGGGTTATGAGAGGCGTGCTGGCATGCGTTTTTCGCTGGGGGTGGCATGGGTTAATGGTCGCGACGCTTGTTTAGAGTCTCATTAGCACGCTGCCATTTGATTGTATTTTTTCCGCGTTTAGTTTTTTGCTCGTGCTCCGCTGAGCATCATGAGGTGGGAAAATGAACGTGCAATAAAGGTGAACATTTTTGAATTGAGGAAAATTAAAATTAAAGAAGTTAAAGGAGTGAGTACCGTTCACCTTTTGGAGCAACTAAACATTCTTATTAATGTTTTCTAATAAATTTTGTTATATTTTTTGTATATAAATTTCATATAATTATAGTTTAGAAAAGTGGAACTGTCGACTTCCCTCCCTTCTTCCTCGCTGGTCGCCCCCTCTCTTTCCCACACCATTTTTGCAAAGATGGCGTGCTCCATCATTAGTGCCGTTACTTTATGCCCTTCCGTTTTGGTATTCAACTTCAGCTTGTTCTCTCATCTGCTTTTTGTGCTTTGGCCATCTCTCTACTCTATCCTCTATCCTCTATCTCCTGCCCATATCCTTCCACATCCTTCCATTGTCCTTGCTGTCGCTGTTTGTGTCCGCCTGGCACAATGTTGACAATTAAGTTAAACTTGTTTTCTTACTTCGCTTCGTTACGATTCGCCAATTTCGCTCTCCCTCTAAAAGTCAAAGTCCTGTCGTCTGCGGCTGATGTGGCTGATAATTATGTGCCCCCTGCACGGACGAAAAGGACAACGGACAGCGGAACGAAGACAACGGACACTCTCCACGCTTTATATTTGCAGACACACGGAGCCGAAAAGTTGAGCATGCCATACTAATCAAGAAGGAAATATAATGATCATGTTACACTGATTATTATTATACCAATTCTTATACAGAATATACCTTGAATTCCTTGTGTAAAATATGATGCAAATTTGCGTAAGCTGCGAAAAACATAAATGATTAAAAGTTGAATAAACACAACAAATAAACCAATGTTCATTAATATATAGAAAATTGGAAACAAACAAAACTAGTTTTATTAAAAAGGATTGGCATTTAAAATTGTTTTATTGACAAAAAAATTAACTTTGGCCTACATACATTTCAAAATTTAATAAAAATTAAAAAAAAAATTAAAATGGAATTCTGTTATTATTTGCTGCTGTGCAGTGGATAGTGACAAACATTTAGAGCAAGCGAAAAATGGTCAACTGTTGGGGCATTTTTATTTTTGGCATTGTCCGCCTTCTTTGAACGCTTTGGTCATTTTGGCCGGCTTTCCTCTTATTGTTGTCGTTTTGTTAACTTGTTTTTTCCTGTGCCACAAAGGCCACGCCTCCCCCCGGCCACACCACCATTTCTTTTCTCATTTCTGTGACGGCTTTTTGGCTGCCCTTGCTCTTGTCGCTTGAATTGTCGTCGAAAATTAAATAAAATTAATTACCGCGTGTGTTTGTATGAACATACACACAGTGACAGCGAGACAAGACAGCGATTCGCATACCACTAAACCGCCCACCCACCCACTCAACCACCTCCTGAGCCACCCACTGAGCCACCCAACCACCCACCTGTGCCGTTTGATTCACGCGCGTGTGCGTTTTGCGGCGACCTCAAGGAGCCCACAGTCCGCCCACAGTTGCATCAACATTTAAATCAACATCGGGCAGTCGCAGCCGCAAAATCGGGACAAAGGATTTTGACTGACCAAATCGGAGGTCACTTTGTCATAACATTTGGGATCTAATGAAGCGTAAAAGACGTGCGCTGAGCCACTAATGAGTGCAGCAATTCATACAGAGCTCTCAGCAATTCAATCTACCTTTAGGCATTTCAGGTAATCCTAACTATAAAGTAGTGGCATAACAATTTATGATCAAGGAGGTATTTACTCTTTAGAACATAAAAATAAACATATTGGCGATTTTAATAAAATTCTGAAAAAAACATGAGGCATTCAAATGATCAATACATTAAAACTACCCATACAAACGTTTTAAGTACAATTTAAAAAAATACAAAATAGTTTTAAATTGTAAAACCAATATAGTAAAGCTTACTGTTGACTGAACATTTTAACAGCTTAAAGACTAAATTAAATTAAACTAATTAAATTTTAAAAATAGGTTTATACTATTTTGGCATGATTTTAAAGACATTAGAAAGCAAATAGTATTCATTTGAACTTAAAGCTTTCAAACATCAAACAATAACTTGATTAAAGAAAAGGGAAAAATTATTAAATTCATACAGCTATAAAAAAAAGTTAGCTGTGGGTCTGAACAACAATTCGAAAATGTTTATTGTAATGACTAAGCTAAAAATACACATCTAAAGGGAACAACCAAGTGTTTTCTAATTAATCATGTATTAAAACGAAATCAAAATAAATATTATATAATATCAAATATGAAGAACAAACATACACAAAAGACCTCTAATTAGAAATATCCTTTTCTAGCTAATCCACGGTGAAATAGTGCCCCAAAAACCAGGTCTCATCAATTCCTGTCGCCAGGCTTCACTGTATCCCATAGCGAGAGCGTGTCGACGGCATCTTCATCATCATTATCAACAGTTGCCATTCGGCTACTTGGAGGCACAGCGGGCGAAGAAAACAGGAGCCGGTCGAGAATCAGGGAATCGGAGAGCTCTGGTGGAGTCGGCACTGCCGTGTTGCTTTAAATTATCTGTTATTGCTGCCGGCACCACCCGTCGCAACCCAACCACCCACCATCCCAACCACCCAAACACCCACTTTCCCCAAAAGTACCCCACCCCCACCACTGCCACCCATCTACTATTTAACGCTCCAGTTTTAGCAGCCTTTTGCACTGAGACAAGTTATGACTTTAATGAGCCAGCAATTCACTTAATTTATTTTTTTAGTTGTTAATTTTTTAAAACATATATTTTGAACCTGTAAAAATTTTATTTTCCAAAGGAAATAATAATAATACAAATAATAATAAATATTGTGATATACAAAAAAAAGTCATTGCCTTGTTTTATGCAAGTTAAAATAGTTTTTTAACCTCCTAGCCTACGATAATCTCACGGTTAGTTAAATGTAAGTTTTAAAGTGATAAATTGTATGGATTCTTAAAGCTATTCTTGACTTACCATAATAAAGAGAAAAAGGTCTTAAAGTGTCTTAATAATTTAAATTACTAATTAAATTTCTGATTGAGGAACTTTAAGATCAATACCATGTAAGAAGTTTTTTATTTTTCAAATTTCAGTAATTGTTACAGTCTTATTTTTATGTATGTCCAAGACTTTACTTAATTTTTAGGTAAAATATTAAGTAGTTATAGAGATTTCGGGAGTGCCACAGAAATCTCTAAGGATTTAATATCACTGTATATGCGATATGTATTTTCAATTAGTCTAAATAAATAAGTAAAGGAAAATGATTTACGAAAAACGACGTTCTGTTTTTTATGGTATACTATTTAAATTTTTCAAGTAATTTCAAAACTCTAAGAAGTGTTATTCTCTGTGTAGTTTTAGGATGGCAACATCTTGCCACGTTTGCTATCATTTTTAGGCGGGTGCTCGTGTCGTTTGGCCACGTTTTGTCGCCCAGCTGGTGGTGTTTGGTGGGTGGGTGCTATTGGGGGCGTTACTCCAACCCCTACTCGCCCCTTTTCCGCCCCCTTTTCGCTCCCTTTCAGCCCATACTTTCTTTGTCTCTGTTGTGTCATTTCATGCGTTTGCCTTGTTTTATTTGTTTCAACTTTTGTCTCATTTACCTCTCTCTTTCCCACACTCCCATCCCCAAATCTCCCTCTCCCTCACTCCTGCTTGCTATCTCACTTCCCCAACCAGTAGATCGACATTACTATTTCTTGTTGTTGTCCTTGCTTCTTTGTGGCCTTTTGACTTTTTAGTGCTTTGGCTTTTGACTTTCCCTTCCCTTCCTTCCAAAAAAACAAAAAAAACAGAGGCATCGGTGGGCGGGAGTTGTCGGGTGCCGGCTGGAAGGGGGCGTGGCAAATTGTAGTACATAGTTTGGTTGCTGTTGCGATAAAAACGAAAATAAAAGCCAAAACGGAGCAGATAAAATTAAATACTGACCCAGGATGGACAGCAAAAATCGGGGGCTTCAAAAGGGAGATTCGCTTCCGGTGGGCGTGGTCCACGTACAAAAACTAATCGTTCAATTAAGTTGCCCGCGGGGCGGCCAAGGGGCGTGGCACCTTGTCCGAAACAAGCAGCGAACACAAAAAGTTAATGAAAAAAGCGAAGAGAAAAGAGTTTGTGCAGATTGTATTAGCAAATACACAATATAATGCACTGTAAGAAAATAGTGTGTCTTAA